CATGGCCACCCCAGCGTCGACCTGCTGGGCTCCAGTGATCCTTCCGCCTCAGCCTTCCAAGTAGCTAGAACTACAGGCACGCACTACCACGCCTGGCTAATTTTTTTGATTTATTGTAGAAATGAGATCTCGCCAAGCCCAGGCTGTTCTTGAACTCGTGGGCTCAGACAGTCCCCTCATCTCAACCTCCCAAAGTGCTGGGATTACAGGCTTGCGCACTGCACCCGGCCTAGGAAGTTTTAAAATAAATATAGTAAAGCCTAAGTGTACAGTGACTATAAAGCCTACAGTGGTATGCAGTCATGTCCTAGATCTTCATGTTCACTCACCCCTCACCAGCTCACCCAGAGCAACTTCCAGTCCTACAAACTCCATTCATAGTAAGTGCCCTGTATGGGTGGACCATTGTTTATTTCATAGCATATTTTTACTATGCCTTTTCTATGTTTAGATGTGTGTAGATACACAAATACTTACCAGTGTGTTAAAATTGCCTACAGTATTCAGTAGAGTCATATGCTGTGCAGGGTTGTACTCTGAGCACAATAGACCATACCACACAAGGGGGAACCAAAAAAAAAAAAAAACAAATTATCTCTTGGAGGGCAGGCCTCTTGTAATACAGGATTTCCCGACTAAATAAGTGTTCTAGAAACCCACCAGCATCAGTGTACCAACTAGCATTGTGAGAGGCTGCATTGTGGAAGAAACGACCCGAGTTGTGGCAATCAGGTGACTGGTTCTTCCACCACGACAATGTACCTGCCCACATGGTGCTGAGTGTTCAGTAGTGTTTGACCAAAAACATTATGACCTCTGTACCCCACCTCCCCATTCACCTGATCTCGCCCTGAGTGGCTTGTTTGTTTGTTTGTTTCCCAGGATGAAAAAAGTGCTCAAAAGGAAACATTTTGCCAATGTTGATGAAGTGAAACCAAAAAATGGCAGAACCACTAAAAGACATTAAAATAGACAGTTCAAAAACTGTTTTGAGCAGTGGAAAAAGCATCTCAATAGTTGTATTGCATCAAGCAGAGAGTACTTTGAAGATAACTGAAGTTTAAACTTGCAAGAACAAAAACAATATTTTATAAATAAATTTCAGTTTTTGAGAATCCTCCTCATATAGCCTAGGTGTGTAGTAGGTTGCACCATCTAGGTTTGTATAAGTACACTCCACAAAGTGTACACAATGATGAAATCACCTAACAACATGTTTCTCAGATCATATCCTCGTCATTAAATGACACACAACTGTATAGACAAAAATACTGTGACTATGTGCACTTTTTTTTTTCTTGATGGGTCTAAAGCTTTCATCATGTTCAGAGGAATTTCTGATCCCAAAATATTAAGGACCTCTTGCTCTAACCATCTGCTATTCGGTCAGAATTTCCTGTGTAGCATCCTCCATGGTTGGTTACCCCAGCTCACTCTACCTCCAGTGAGAGAGACCCACCACCGTATGAGTCCCTCTCAAAGTTAGAAAAATCCTTCATACCAGATGGGCAGGGCCATTGTTCCCTCCCTCCCCACCACATATAAGCTTATAGGACAAGGAGCATGAGAATATTTTATGACTTAAAAGTACTTTACAAACAGAAGGTATTCTAATTTGTTCTTGTTATCACCATAGAATTAAATCTCCAGGTCAATTCTCCTCTCGATCATCCAAACTCAGTCTGACTTAGTAACTGGCTTGTTTATTTTTTATAACAAAAAAGAAGAAACATTGGCACTGGAGACGCTTAACAAACCTCAGAAGAAACTGTCAGGGGGCTCCCTGTTTGTTCTGTTTTCTCCTCCTCCAGCCAGGAAGCTGGGCCACCCTCCCCACCTGTACTGGGACCACCTGGACAGTATCCAGGAAGTCCCTGAGGGGCAGTAGGAGGAATCTGAGAACCATTGTAGCCACCTCTGGAGTTTTATCCGAATGTGTTTACAGTGACCAGCACCATGAAGCATGCAAAACAGGGAAATGAGAGAAAGATGTGGTGCAAGACGTGGGCTTCCTACAGGGCCGCCACAGCTGTGGATGAGTTAAATCAGTGTCTGCAATCAAAAATCATGACCCATGAAGGTTACAACCAGCAGGTGTTTCAAAGAGATACATTATAGCAGAGGACACTCTATATCTTATATTAGTGAAGGACAGTATTCATTCATGAAATGTTTGTTTCAAAATATTTTGTAGGCCTGGTGAAGTGGCTGAAGCCTATAATTCCAGCACTTTGGAAAGTTGAGGTGGGAAGATTGCTCAAGCCCAGAAGTTCAAAACCATCCTGAACAACATAGCGAGACCTTGTCTCTACAAAAAAAAATCAAAAAAATTAGCCAGGTGTGGTAACATATGCCTGCAATCCCAGCTACTCGGGAGACTGAGGCAGAAGAATTGCCTGAGCCTAGGCGGTCTAGGCTGTAGTGAGCTGTGATCACACCACTGCACTCTAGCCTTGGACAACAGAGTAAGACCCTGGATCAAAAAAAAAAGAGAAATTTCATGAAAACTTTGTAAGTGTATATACTGGATTGTGATGTACAGTAGTTCTTACTATAAAATACGGCGGGGGAAAGAGAGAGCCACTGGCTGAAGTCCCTGACATCCACAGCCAGGCCACTTCCCAGCATCTGGAGCCCCAAAGACATAAATTTCCTTCTGTAACTGTTACCACAGCCTGACAATTAGTGAATAATGAAAAAGCAAAAGAAAACAAAGACTTGGCAATCAATATCCAGATAGTCAGATATTACATAACCTGTTTGATATGAAAATTGATCCCACTGTCCAGACAGCAAACAAATAATTTATTAATAAAGTCCAGTTCCACCTTAATTAAGTGGGTTTAATAGTTAATATCTCAATAATTACTTAGTGCATTTTTTATAAAGGCAGTGGATGGGAGTCAGTGAATGGGAGGGTTGTTTCTGCGTCAGAAAGTTTCTCTTAAACGTCTGCAAAAAAATCATCCTGAATTTTTCAAGAATTCAGTCACAGAGAGATTAAGGAATAAGATGATACTATAAAAATTTATTTTATGCTTCTGGGTAAAATAAACATAAACATACTGAATGCCTTCAAAATACATCATTTATTCCAAAAATACATTTCCATAGATCTCGCTATGTTGCTCAGACTGATCTCGAACTCCTGGACTCAAAAAATCCTCCTGCCCCAGCCTCCCAAAGTGCTGGAATTACAGATGTGAGCCACAGTGCCTGGCTTATTTACTTTTTAATAAAATTTTTGCTCCTACTTCTTCCTTTACTGGGCCCACCTGGGTAGCACCAAAGAGAATTCCTAATAGGAATAAGAGAGATGGAAAATATTTGCAGCCCCCTTCTAAAGTTTTTTTAGAATATATTTAGTTAAACATAAGTGCATTTTAAAAATAAACGTGTGATTAGATCTAATGCTAGGAGATTTAAGTCACAAATTGATTTCTGTTTTAAAATGAATGTAAAACACATGTAAAATATACATGCACATTCTGAACTAAACTTATATGATTTTTTTCCCTTTTCTTTTTGTGTTATTGAGAATCAGGCCTTTGATTTACATAGAAATGCTTTAGTGTTTAGATAATTGCTACTTAAGTCATTAGCTACAAACATCATAACAATAAAAGACTCTGTAAAAATTATGAATTATGAAGAAATTGGCCACTTGTCACTATATGGTATAAACAGTTTCTTATTTATATTGAATCATCTGTCTTACTCCCAGCAGGATAAGGTGAAGTATGTTGCCCGGCATGTAAGAAAGATGACAATTTGGAATAATTACCAAGTTATTGGAGCCTTACACGAACATCTATTACCTTTGGGGATATTTACTAGATACAAACTTAATTTGATGAATTCCTTTTGTATTGGGATCAATGTCTCAAAAGGGAAAGTGACAATGACAGAGAAAGTGCGATGCCAAGAGACTGACACTGATTAGAGAAATGCACACGCTTTAATGCACATGTAGAAACTCAGCCTGTCCCTATCCTGGGTCATCACAGTGTGTGATGTGGAATGTGTATGTTCCCAGTAGCTGTCATCTCACCACTATTCTCACAGCCCAGATTTACAGTCGTTCAATATATGGATTCAGTAATGTCTGCATGATAACAGAGAAGGTTAGCTGGCAATTGATTTTTGATTGGAGTGAATTTATAGAAAGCATTCTGGTAGGGCCCAGAGAGAAATACTCACCCCACTGTGATGGTTAAAAAAAAAAGCTGATTTGGACCTGTGATTTTTCAAGGGGAAATGGTCAGGATCACTGCTTTAACTGACAGACACTTTCTAAATACCTAGTGCAACACTGTATCACAGTATGGTGCATACAGGAGGCGCAGTTAAGCTACTATTTACAACAACTGTTTTTAGAGCCCTTCAAATGCTTTATACAAAGCAGCTCCCATTTAAGTCATTGTTCTAGTATTTAAGGATGTCTAGCAGATATTACAAAACAATATGCTGTAAATACATTCAGACTCTTATAATTAATATTTAACATGCCATAACTGCTAAATCATGCTAGCCTTTCTCTAGTTGGCCTAAATCATGAGAATTTATTCCTTTTTAATTAGATTTGTTTCCCTTTGCTATTTTGATAGTGTTTATCATTCTGTTCACTCACCTGTGTCTCTGGAATATTCAGAAATCTCAGTAGGCAGCAATTTGAATATGCAAAGAGGTTATTTTGAAAGCAAGGGAAATAATTTCATACCAGCTTGCTTTGAGCGTTTCTTCCTTCATCTCCACTTGGAACATGTTTACACCAACATTGAAGCCCCTTCCCTACGTGGTAACTGACACCTACAGTAACGAGGTGGCCTGGGGTGAGACAGAGACTGGCAGGGAAGTGGGGTTCGAGGCAGGAAGGCCACCCGCAGTGCCCACATCCCCAGTTCCTAGACTGTGACCCTACTCTTTGACAGCCCAGACTGTTGTCTAACAAGAATGACCCCTGAGGTCAACCACTCCAACGCCATCTCCTCTGGTTCCAGATAAGATTGAAGATGAGCTGGAGATGACCATGGTTTGCCATCGGCCTGAGGGACTGGAGCAGCTTGAGGCCCAGACCAACTTCACTAAGAGGGAGCTGCAAGTCCTTTATCGAGGCTTCAAAAATGTAAGACCCACACAGACTCTGAAGACCCGGGTGGGATCTTCCGTTTGGGGCCAAACTCTCCCAAATGCCAAGGAAGTTCAAAAGGAAGTTCCCCATATGTGTGGTTGTACAAGGAGGGCCACCTCTATAAAGGAGACTTGAGAGCAACATCACCTGGACAGAACAGAAGGCTCCAGGCGAGGGTGTGGCAATCTCATAAGACAGTAAGCTGCTCAACTGCCCAGAAACTTCACAGGGTGGCACAACCTTGGCGGATTCAACCTGGCCCAGGTTCTAGCCTTAGCACATAACACATTCACACTTTCCATCTTGGTGGTGCCCCCAAATGATGGGATTCGGATCTGCTGTTTTATACTAACCAGGCTCACAGAAACTGAAGTGTAAACCCAAGGGTCAAAGTATTAATTTACCATGAGAAATAGAGCTGACAATGAGACTAGACACTCCTCTCCCCTTGTGGGGACCTTCTCTTTCTGTGAGCCATGTGGAAGTCAAGCCACAATCAAAGGTAGAATCAGAGAATGGGGGTTAGCTGTTGCCTCAAATGCACTAATCACGTTCCTGCCTTCTTAGGTCAGTCTGAGAGCTCTCAAATCCCATCCTTGGTGTTGTTTTACTTTATTTTTTTAAAAGCTTAACTCCCAGCATCGTGTTGCCAAACCCCAGGGTAGGGTGGGGCGGGGTGGGCTAGAGGGAGGTGCTCCCGGCCACCCTCCCTCCGGACGTGGTCTGTAGGTAGAGCTTGGCCAATTTCAAACTGACCACAGCCTCCATGTTCTCCAAGATGCTGACTGATAGGGATTCCAACACCTCCTGGAAGTTGTCTGACAAGCCTGGGATGCCTCTGCCTTCTACAACAGCCTTGACTGCACTGGCCAAGTGCCTGGTTTCCTATCATTAGGGTTCCTTTCCTCTTGATCTTGAGGAGGCAGTGGGCAGTGGGGTTGGAGCAAGGCCCTGTGGGAAGGTTTTCCAGATGGGCACTGGGTTGAGAGGGACTAGCATCCAGGAAAGAGAAAAAATTGACATTGCTTGGCATCTACCATGAACCCAGTACCCCCTAACTGCAGGCATGTATATTAAACCTCTCAGTAGCCTTGTTGAGAGAGTACTGTTAGCTCCATTTTACAGGTAAGGAATTTGAGGATCAGAGACTGACTTGGCCCAAGTCACAAAGATTAGAATTGGCTAAATCAGGATCCAAATCCAGTCCTTTCTAATCCCAAAGCCCAAATTCTTTCTACATCATGGTGCCCATTCTCTGACAATGTCTCATCATTTTGCAAAGGACTTTAGTCCCAAGGTGGCACTACCTGCTGGCCGCTCACCTTAGAGACATGGAGATGCACAGGGGCTTGTCCAGTCCCTACCCACCAGGAATCACTAGCTCCAAGAATGGGTCCAGTCCTCCCTGGTGCAGACCTCCAGACACCATCCGCTGACTCTCTCTCCTCTTCACACAGGAGTGCCCCAGTGGTGTGGTCAATGAAGAAACATTCAAGCAGATCTATGCTCAGTTTTTCCCTCATGGCGGTGAGTCTGACCTTGAATAAGATCCTACCCAACACCCTCTCTGGTGAGCAGCCTTCTCTTCTACCAAGTCCACTCTTCCTCAAAAAGGAAGAGAGAACTCAGAGCAGGATACCTCCCTTATTACAAGATGTGGAATTCTCTAAAGCTCTAGCAGAAAAGAACTCTGAAAATGAACCCACTCCCGGAGGGAAGGAAGAATGATAATGTAATATCATAAAGTCTCATAACAGCTCAAGAAAGCAGGTAGGACAATCCCAGATAGGGTAACTGAGTTTCAGAGAAGTTAAGCAATTTACTCAAGATCACACAGCTATGAATAGCAGACTGGGATTAGATCCCACACGTGTCTGAGGTAAAACTTTGTCATGTTGGCTCCACCATTGTCCAGGACACTTTCTATTCTCTTCCTTAAAACAGCGGAGACAAGCTGGGATTTTGAAAAAGAACCTTAGTAAATACAAAAGTTCTATGAAAACAAACAAATCCTAAAGGAGACAGGGAGCCCAAAGCAGTTTATGCATGTCCAGGTGACAGCCCCTGCTCTGGTGTCCTGTCTGACTCCTTGTGGGAACCAGCTCCTGCCCCATAAGGCTGGGACCACATCAGTGGCTCCTCCCGTGGCCTCCAAGTATCACATCACCTTTCCTCCTGTCCCCAAGAACTGTCTCCTGCAGGGCCCCTTCCCTGAGTTCTGACAAAACAGAGATCCGAGCATCCCAAACACTTATTGGGCCATTTCTCATGGGCTTCTTCTGCAGCAGACAGGTCCTTCCTAGGTGTGCAGGCCCCCCACCCCGGGTTGAGGGGACAGCTTCTTTCCCATGCAGGCCCCGAATCACAGTTTACTAAGTTCCACTGAGCCACTCTTTATTGAGTTCTTACTATGTACCAGGCATGACTCAAGTTTAGCATACTTTTTCAAAAATTCTAAGAGATAAGTCTGGCTACATGCCATTATACAGAGGTGGAAAAGGGGAACTCAGAGAGGTTGCATTAGATGCCTATAGTTATACAGCTATGTGGTGAGAAAGCATCAATGAAGCCCAGGTCTGTCTGCTCCCATGAGGGTGCTCATCCATGGGGCTACCTCTTCACGTTGTCACCGTGTCAATCATCTACAAGGATTCCACACATAGAAGGCAGGAAAGTGTTTTGGGATGGCTTCCTGGAGGGCAAGGGTCTGTCTTGCCTCTTGCTAGAACACAGTCCCCACCTAAACCCCAGGAGGTGAGCAAACAGGCCCTGCTCTGTGATTTTTCTCCTTTCTGCCATCCCAGCATCCTCCTCCTCTCTTTCTTGTGGAAACCCTGCCTCAATTCTGAAGTGCTCTTCTTCCCCTATTCAGAGCCCTTCCCCATCACCTGCTCTTCCCTCTCTGCCTTGCAGATGCCAGCACGTACGCTCATTACCTCTTCAATGCCTTCGACACCACCCAGACAGGCTCCGTGAAGTTCGAGGTATGCTGGTCTCTTGGGTCCACTCTGGGGTCCCCTGGTTCTGCATCACCTCTCCTTCCAAACCTGGGGGCATTGGGAGAAAGGCTGGACTACCAAATGCTCAGAGTCAAGACAAAGAAACCTTTATCCATTCACTAAGTATTTCCTCAGGCTGGAGAGGAGAAGAAGCAGCATCCCCTGCTCTGCGGAAACTCAGGGATTCAGGGGACTGATAATGAAGGCTTCCCATGCGGCAGCCTCTGCACCCAGCACTTTGCATGCATTAACTCATTTTATGCCCACAATAACTCCATAAGGTAGGATTCTATTATTTATAACCCTTTTACAGAGGGAGAAAATAAGGCAAAGAGAGACTGAGTAGCTTCCCCAATGTCAAACAGTGAAGCAATGCTGAAGGAGGGGATTAGGACACAGCCAGCATGTGTCCACAGTTCACGTCCCTAGCCACTAGACTATGCAGCCACTCAGATGATAAACCACTGCAGCCACAGGACAGGCACTGGCAGGAGAGGCTGTGTTGACGTGTGTCTCATAGAGCTCCGTTCTTCCTCAAGGGGGCGCCTTCCAAAAGTGGGGCAGGGTAGGAATGGGAAGGCAGGAGCTCTTCGCCTAGCGTGGCCGCATCCTCCAGGCAGATGAGAGGACGTAAGTGAACTGTCACAGAAACAAAGAACCGAACACCGCATGTTCTCGCTCATAAGCAGGCCCTGAACACTAGTCACATTAGCACAAGGGTGGGATCAGCAGTCTCGGGCATGGTTAGAGGAGGGAGTGGGTGGGGGGCACAGGGCAACATGGTGGGTACCAGGTCCACTATTGGGGAAGCTAGGGTCAGCTAGAAGCCCAAACTTCACCGGCATGCAGCCTACTTATGTTGCAAACCCTCACTTGTACCTCACAACTCCAAAATTAAAATTGAATTGAATTGAATTGAATTTTTTAAAAGAGGACGTGAGAGGCACCATTCTATAAAAGCATCACAGGGTCTGACCCAAAACACAGCTTCATCCCCCCTGACGACTTAGTTGGTTAATATCACTCTCGCCTTTTCCATTTCTCAGGACTTTGTAACTGCTCTGTCGATTTTACTGAGAGGAACCGTCCATGAGAAACTAAGGTGGACATTTAATTTGTATGATATCAATAAAGATGGATACATAAACAAAGAGGTAAGTGTGCTGAGGCCAGGGGTTCAAGAAAGCTGGCAGAAAACAGCCCAGGCATGAGGACAGCCTTGTCTGAATGAGACCAGATCTGCTTTGGGACTAACAGAGCTGGTCCTTGGCAAAATAAAGATGGTCTTCCTCGTTGCCCTACCCTCTCCTATCCCCAGATGCCCACAAACTAAGTATTAAGCAGATTCATTCTCACCAGGTCCCACAAATTTAATCATGTTATATAGGGGATGAAAATGACTTGTTTTGGTATAGAGGTACTTTTCCCTAGAGAATCTGTATTTTGATGGGTTTGTAACCACAAGTTGAAGCTAAAAGTTGAAATGGTAGAATCACAGGCAGCAACTGGAAGAAAAAAATTTTTAAGGGAAGGGGATTTCAATTGGATTATATTACCCACAACCCATTTGGCCCATTAATACAACCACAGAAGGGGGTGGTGGAAGGCACAGTTGTCTCGAAAGAAATCACCGCAACTGCCACAGAAACAAAAAACTGAATACTGCATATTCTCATTCGTAGGCAGGCCCCGATCACTGGCCACGTAAACACACTGGTGGGAACAACAGATGCCTGGGACACTGCTAAAGGAGGGAGGGACGGAAGGAGGGATGGAAGAGGGACAAGGGGCACCCATCCACACACTGGGCATCAGACCCACTATCGGGGGTGAGAGGGCTCACTAGAAGCCCAGACTTCACCTGCACACAATTTACTTATGTAGCAAATCCTCACATGTGCTCCACAAATAAAATAAAATAAAAAATTTTAAAAACAAATCATCACAAGTAACTTCTGAATCTTCACTGCTTGACACTTTTAGAACCTCAGAGGATATATGTCTAGCCAGTGAAATACCCAGAGATCTATCTCAAACCTCACTTTGGTGTTTACTGTAACCTGGTATCTCTGTGGAAGCTTGAATTATACATCCTGTGGCATCCCACCTGCTGAGCTCCTGCGTGTCAGGCACAGTGCTTGGAGATATGGATATCATCTCTGAAGTTCACCTCAACCCTGTAAGGTTCTTTTCTTACAGAGAGGAAACTAAAGTACAAAGAGCTTACTCAACTTTCCTTCCTCATTCATTCAGTTGTGTATTTGCCTAACACACATTTGAGAGTTTATTAGATTTTCCAGATTTTCTGGAGATTCAGAGATGAGCAATTAGTCTAGGCCCCACCCTCATGATGCAGTGTAGAGAGATGGGCAACAAACAGACAAAATGTAAGTCAATAGGTAAAAGATATCTCAGCAAGGAAGGAGATGTTGTTACACAGGAACCTGTCGTGCAAAAACCCAAGAAAACATTCCAGGCAGAAGGAACAGCCCACTAGAGAGGCTCTGAGGCAATACAGAACTTCATATGAATCAGAAACAGAAAGGCTTCCCGTTGGCTGCCGATGAAGATGTGAAGGAGAAGACGGGTGCAAGATGGAGCGTCAGATGGTAGAGGGCTAGGGTGAGGGGCCCAGCTGTATTGCATTGGGAAGCTGCTAGATAGATATGTTTTTTCAAAGGCACAAAGTTCTATAGCTGACTCAGAGAGAATGAGAAAATCTGAAGAGCTCCCTATCATTTAGAAAAATTGTATTCACAATTTCAAGCCTTCCCACAAAGAAAAATTTATGACTAGGTATCTTACTGGTGAATTCTAATAATGTCAATCCTACAAAAAAATTTTTAGAAATAGAGGAGGAAGGAACACTTCCCAGCTCATTTTACAAATACAACAGCACCCTGATACCCAAACCAGAAAAAAAAGTTCTTACAAGAGAAGACAACTGAAAACAAGTATCCCTAAGCACAGATACAAAAATATTTCATAAAATATTAGCAAACTGAATCCTGTGATTTTTTTAAAGAGGTAATACACCATGATTATGTGAGGTTTATTTTAGGCATGCAAGATAGGTTTAACGTTCAAAAATCAATGTAATTCACTATATCAACTGAATAAAGAAGAAAAACATATTAATTCAATAGATGCAGAGAAAGCATTTGACAAAAATCAACATCCATTCATGATGAAACTCCCAATAAACTAAGATTAGAATGGAATTTTCTCAATCTCATATAAAGAAGTTACAAAATCCCTACAGCTAACATCACACTTAATGGTGAAAAAATGAATGCTTTCCATCAAGATCAAGAATAAAACAAGGGGGCCAGGCATGGTGGCTCAAGTCTATAATCCCAGCACTTTGGGAGGCCAAAGCAAGAAGATTGCCTGAGTTCAGGGGTTCGAGACCAGCCTGGGCAATTTGGTGAGACCTCGTCTCTACAATAAATCAAAAAAACAAGCCAGATGTGGTAGCATGAAGGTTGAGGCAAAAGAATCGCCTGAGCCCAAAAAGTCGAGGCTGCAGTGGCCGTAAGCATGCCACTGCACTCTCGCCTGGGTGACAGAGTGAGACTCTGACTCCAAAAAAAGAGTAAGACAAGGAAACAAGGAAATCTAGGTGAAAAAACGAGAAACCGGGGGGATATAGATGGAAAGGAAGAATTAATATGGTCATGATTTGTAGATGACATGATTATATTCATAGAAAATCCTAAGAGTTTATTTTTTTAAAAAACTACTAGAAATAAATGAATTTAACAAGGTGCCAGGATGTGAGTTCTGTTTACAAAAATTATGTGTAATTTTATGTGCAACAAACAGAAAATTAAGGAAAAAATGTCACTAGTGATGGCACTAAAAAAGCACATTTCTTTGAGATAAATTCAAGAAAATAGATGCAAGACTCATACACTGAAAACTACAAAATATTGCTGAAAGTAAAGACCTAAATAAACAGAGTGATGTATAATGCTCAGGGGTTGAGAGGCCCAGCATAGTTCAGATGTAGATTCTCCCAAATTAGCTTTATAGATTTAGTGCAATTACAATCAAAATACAAGCAGGCATTTTGTAGGAATTGAAAAACAACTGAAAAAGAAGAAAGTCGGAGGCCTGAAACTACATATTTCAAGACTTAGTATGAAGATACAGTATTCATAATGGTGGGGAATTGGCATAAGGATAGATACATAGATCAATGAATCAAAATAGAAAGTCCAGAAAAAAACCCACCCAAAAGAGAAAGAATAATGTTTCCAGCAAATGCTTTTTTTAACAACCATATATCCACTTGGAAACAAAAATGGGCCTTAACCTTTATCTCATGCCAAACACAAAAATCAACTTGAAGTGGGTCATAGATTAACATATAAAAATGAAAGCTGTTTTCATAGGAGAAACATCCTCACAACTTTGGTGCAGGAATGGATATCTTAAAATGATAAATCTGACTTAATCAAAGCAAAAATTTCTGATCCTCAGAAGACACCTTTAAAAATGGAAATGAAAGTAACAAATTATATACTTGACAAAAGATTTGTATCCAAAATATATAATGAATGTTTGCAACTTAATAAGAAGATAAACAACTCAATTTAAAATACACAAAAGATTTAAACAGATATTTCAAAAAAGAAGATATGTAAATGGTCAAAATAAGCTCATGAAAAATTGCTCCATCTCTCTGGTCTTCAAAGAAGTGCAAATTATAACGACAACAAAATACAACTCACTCCTACTAGAATAGCTACAGTGAAAAGACTGGCAATATCAAGTGCTGACAAGGGTGTTAAGCAATGGAAACTCCAATAAATAGATGCTAGAAATGTAAAACGGTACAAACACTTTGCAGAACATTCTAGCGTCTTTGATAAAATTCAACGTGCACTTAACATAACCCAGATATCCCACTCTTAGGTATTTTCCCAAAAGAAATGGAAATGTATAATTCCATAAAGACCTGTACAGAGATGTTCATAGCAGCTTTATTCATAATAGTCCCTAAACTGAAAACAACCCAAACGTCTGTCAATAGAGCAACAAATAAATACATTGTAGTGTATCCAACCAATGCAGTAAAGGAAGTAAATTACCGTTACATGCAACATTATGCACAAATCTCATAAGCCTTATGTTTAGTGAATGAAGACAGAATCAAATGAGTTTATTCTGTATTATTTCATTTACATGAAATTTTAGAAAATACACACTATTTTGTAGGGACAGAATTAGATACACAGTTGCCTGGTGCCCAAGGTTAAGAGACACTTACTGCAAAGGGGCATGAAGAAATTTCCTGTGGTTATGAAAATGTTCTACATCTTGAGTGTCGTGGTGGTTACGTGGGTATATACATTTGTCAAAACTCATCAAACAGCACACTTAGAATGTGTAAATTTGTTGTAAGTAAATTATGCTCTGATACATTTGGTTTATTGTGGGGGGACTTATAAGATGGAAGTATCTCCCCAATAGGAGGTACTCAAAAAAAGTGTTGAAAAAATCCTGTCAAAGACAGCAGAAAAGAGAAAACGAGAATTTAACCTCACTCACAAATCCTAAATGAGACACTAGGAAATAAGTCCCAGTGATCTACCTAAAGAAATGCACATGGCTAGGATAAAGTTTATTCCAGGAATGCAGGAATAGCTCAATAGTAGAGAAAGTCGATTACATAATACCTCATATCAGTATCAAAAGATTAAACCATTTGATAAAAATATAACTACTATTCATTAACATCTATTAACATCTCAGTAAATGAAGAATAAAATACTTCTGCAGCATAATAGAAAATACCCCAGCCTAGTACACAGCTTAATACTTTATGGTAATACTGAAGGGAAGAAAGAGAGTACACATTGCCAAACACCACCACTGTTTACATTTCCTTCAAGTGCTTCAAATACAGGAAAAAATGAGATATAAGTTTGAAAAATTATACTTCCTTTGTTAATTATATAATTTTCTTCTACCAGAAAAAAAGACAGGAAAATCAACTTAAAACAATTAGAACTTTAAAAAAAAAACAGTAAGGTGACTAGTAATAAAATACATATTAAAAAAAAATCAATTGGCCACTATGTCAGTTATGACTAGTTAGAAAACTGTAACCAAAATATTCTAGTTATAATGATAATGAAATTTAAAGTACATGGGCATTTTTAAGTATTTATAACTTAGATGAGGAAAAAGTTTTCTGAGAAACACAAAAAAGAATACTTAGATAAGTAGAGAAACATCCCATTTTCCAAAGAGGAGTACGTTATAAAGATATCTTATAAAGATATTATAAAGATGGAAATTCTCTAATTAACTTTAAATTTATTTTATTTCTAATCAGCATGAAAGTGTTATTTGAGGAGGGAATTTTGCACAGTTGTTATAAAGTTACATTGGAAGAGTAATCAGATGAGAATAGCAAAGGTAATTTTCAAAAAGAATAAAAATGAATTTGTTCCATTAGATATTGAAATATAATATAAAGCTGAAACTATTAAAACATTTTAATATTAGCAGGGGAACAGACAGATCAGCAAAATCGACTAGAAAACGCAGCTACAAATAACAACTTGGTTTATAATAAAGGGAGCATTTTGAATAGAGACTAAAGACTGATGAATAATTAAATAAATAATTCTGGGAAAACTGGTTAGCTAGTTTGGCAATAAATAAATAGTTTCACTTAATATCATACACCCAAAATAATTATAGGCATATACAATTGATTTTTAACTACAAAGGAACTAAAAATCATATGTAAATATCAGGTCTTAGAATGGAAAACAGTAAATCAAAGTTAGAAATAATTTAAAAATTATTGATGACTTTACTCTTTAAACATTTAAACATTTTATACATCGAAAATACCATAAATAAAGTTGATAAAGCAAGTGATAAACTAGTTAAAAGCATTTGCACTTATGGTGATAGAAAGGGTTGATATTCCTCATAGGCATTCACCTTAACAAAAACAAGGATCATATTTATCTTGCTTATCTTTCTATTTCTTTGACACAGTATTTAGCACATGATTGATGCTTAAAAATATTTTTTTTAATCTATCAAAATATGTAAAGAGCTCTCACAATCCAGTGAGAAATAGATGAACACAATGAGCAAAGCAGATGAACTAATAGTTTATGGGAAAAGAAATTAAAATAGTTAATATATACATTTAAAAGCCTCACTAAGAAAGTAAAGCATATTTTTAAAACAATGAAATGTCATTTATTTATTAAATTGCAAAGATTTTTTTAAAATCTTTGCCAAAAATTAATAGAAAGTGATTTTCATACATTGTTGGTGAGAGTGTTATGATACAATATTTCTAAAAGGTATTTGAGTAATATACATCAAAACCTTAAAAATTATGCATCCCGTTTACCCAGAAAAAGCCACATCTTGTTTATGTCCCAAAGCAATTGATACAAAAAACTTAAAAGCAAGAACAGTCTTCAGGTAACAGTCTACAAAATTGTGAAAAGAATAATATCCACTAATAGCAGATTTGTAAAATGAATTCCAGTAACTACATATAATAGAATACCAGATAGCCATTTAAAATTATGAAAGATTAATATGATATAAAAATTAGTGTGATACATACATACAATCACTTTACAAGGTAGTATATTTGATATCAATTTTATAAACAACTAAATGCTTGTACACATATTCAAATATATAATACTCCCAAATATTAAAATACTACTTTGCAAAATACATAAAGAACCCTAAAATGGGAATCACTTGGTCATCAACTTGGGTTCAGTCATTATTTTGTCACTGAATAATCTTACTAACTTCTGCTCCCTTGTATAATTTGCCAGCTAGACTGAATTGTTCCTGTTAATACACACCAGATCCCTCTGGATGCCAGGATTTATTAAATGTGTCTTAAAAGAAAAAGGAAGTGTAGATCAGCAGCTTCTTAGAAAATATAGCTGGCTCTTCCTCTGGTCATTATTTGGAGATAGTCTCATCCATGTGTAGGCAATAAAAATCCTGAGAGAGCAATCAAGATTAGTCTTTAAGTTCTTTCTCTGATAAAAAAAAAAAAAAAAAAAGCATTCATACAGGAAAGATCTCAATGGCCATGTAGAAGCAAAGAGCTTGTAAAGCACACATTTTTAAATAAACACATGGATAAAGACACATATTTCCTGTCCATTGAGGGTTCTCAGGGCAAGAAGACCCTACACCAGGGAGCACATTTAGCACCTTACTATTCTTCAGTAAAAAAGAACCCGTTTCCTTGGAGAATGGTTGATTCCAGACTGTGAAAGAAAAATACAAGATGAGTCTAGAGTACTTGTAGTGCTAAAAAGTATTAAAAGAAAAAGAAAAGAATAAGGATGGGGCATGCCAAAAGGCTACAGGAGTCAACCTGAAGGAGTTCCCAGTAGCCAAAGCAAGAGTAATTTGAGCCACAACAACAACAAAATTGATAGTATTGGATTATAATCATACATAAAAGCATACATAAATGGGGAGAAGGAACAGCTCTTCCTTATAAAAGAATTCCAGTTAATAAGTATGGAAGGAATAAAGGCAATAAAAAATTATCAGTAGGCAATCACTACGGTAACAATTTTTGCAGGCAAAATCCATTGATAGTTACTAAAATCAGCAGAGAAACTTTACAGACACCACTTTAATCAAATGATCAAGCTTAACATCATCAGTAATAAGACATATCAACTATATACCTCCTTGATATGATGCACTGAGAAGGATATAACATCACTTCTATGGCATTCTTGCCGAAAATGAATGACTTCAATCTAACCATAAATAAACCAAGGACTAATTCAAAGTGAGAAATAAATAACTGTAGAATTATTTATTCTACAAAATAATTGACCAGTACTCATAACAAAAGTCAAGGTCAAGGTCTTGAAAGACAAAGAAGAATGAGAAACTGTCACAGATTAGAGGAAACTAAGGAGACACAACAATTAATGTAGAGTTCTCGAAGAGAAAAAAGACATTAGTGGAAAAACTGACAAAATTTGAATAAGCTCTATAGTTTAGTTAATAATATTGTAGCAATCGTAATTTCCTCATTTTGATAATTGTGCTCTGTTTATATATGCTGTTAACGTTAAAGGAAGCTGGGTGAAAGTATACATGACTGCACAGGACTATTTCTGTAATTTTTCTGTAAGTCTAAAATTTTCAATAATAGGTTAAAAACTGACCAAAAAAACCCACAATAAAATAAAATAAACACATGGAATCAGGAGTGGCAGGCAAGGAATCCAAGAGAGAGGCTGTCCCCTGGATCTCTGTAGACACCACATCGAACATGCTGAAACTTCTTTTATCTCCATTCCGAGTTAGGGGCCAAGATGATGAGAATAATGGTTCCTAATGTACCTTGATAAAAATAGAGATTCCTAGGACCTAGTCCTAAGATGCTCTGATTCAATAGGTTTGGGGTGGACTTGAGGATTGATCTTTTTAATAAGGGACCCAGTCTGTGCAGTCAATGACCTCAAGTGCCCTGTGGATAATCTTGGCTATTTGTTCATTTTTCTTAACTTAAAACAGCAACAGAAACTGTGAGAATTTTCAAATCTCAAAGTCAGAATATTAACTTTTCTTTAATTCAGAATATGTCACTTGCCTCAAGCCCATGAGTAGGGATCACACATGTCACCCCTTACTGAGGACAATTCCCCAAAAGAAGTTACCTACCCAGAAGCATCTAAAGGCAAAGAGAATTTTCTATTGTTTTCTCTCTAAGAGGAGGCTCCCAGAAGATAGCCCCTTTGGCTTGCTTTCTAATTCCCTTTCATCTGCTGAAAAGGGACTTCTAATCACTTTCATTGGCAAGGAGGACAAGGAGCCCTAAAGTCATCTGAGAAGAGCTTGACCTCATGGTTTCCACACTGTGTGCTTTTATTTTCCCTCTCCAGGAGATGATGGACATTGTCAAAGCCATCTATGACATGATGGGGAAATACACCTATCCTGTGCTCAAAGAGGACACACCAAGACAGCACGTGGATGTCTTCTTCCAGGTAAGCACACAGCACATAAGCTTTAAGCCTAGCTTCGATCAGTCAACCGATAAGCATCTGAGCAAGCAGTTTGTGTCTAACCTTGTACTAAGAATTTGTGGGAAACAGAAAATAATTATAAGATCCAATGTCCTCAAGCAATATATTATCTCATTAAGCAGACAAGCATACACTACAATAAAGAACAGGGAAGCATATTATTAAGTACAAGTGGTCTGGTATGAATTCTGAGTTTCATAAAAATTATTGGAGGATTAGAGTAAGCACAAAAGATTTTATTAATCATATTCATGGAGGTGTTAAGCATTTGTGTCTGAGGAGTGAGGGGAAATAAGATTGCAAACTAGGGTAGGCCAGGTTGTGAGGTCCCTAAATGGAAGAGTTTAGCCTTGCTCTGGTAAAGGATATATGACTAATACTGATCCTTGAGTAGGGGAGTGGTGTGATCATAGTAGCATTTTAGTAAAAATTAGTAATAATAATCTAGCAGTAGAGTATCAAAGAATGTCAGAGTGCACTCTAGTCCAATGCCACCCTTTGCAGATGGGAAAACAGCAGCCTCTCAGGTCTTGCACAATGTCACACAGCATATGACAGAGCCAGAATCAGAACTTCTCATGCCCATTGTTCTTTCTGACAGATGGACAGGGAAGACATGTTAGGATGTCAGCAATGAGGTTATGAGTATCTGGAGCAAGTCTTTTGATTTAAGGAAGCTCATTGGGGGTCAAAATGCTGTAATCAGGACCTAACTGGAGTTCTATAGCCAGCAAAAAAAATCATCCTCATTCTCAGGGCAATGTTGGTTAATGAAAAGCAAGCTTTGGAATGCAGATCACTAGGTTCTTTAAAGTGCTTTCTGTTGTGTCTTTCAGAAAATGGACAAAAATAAAGATGGCATCGTGACTTTAGATGAATTTCTTGAATCATGTCAGGAGGTAAGGAAAGATCTCAGGGCATGGTAATCCTAAGTCTTAGACAGGAAATCTGAGACTTGGGCTTCTGCAGAAGGAAGGGTATGAGAAACCTGCACCTACCCGCAACCCCTCCATTACTGTGACCCCTTCAATCAGAGCCAACAACAACACCAGCAACAACTCAGAAGTCCAGCAATCTCTGCTCTTCAACTGGGCTTGTGGATGGCCTTGGTTAAGCACAGAACTGAACAGACAGCCTAAGTAGGGGTCTGAAGATATGAAAACCCAGATGGGCTCTCTGTGAAAAGGGTCTTCCCAAGTGCACAACACTGCCATTTTTCGACCTGCCTTTTGCTTGATGCCCCATTCCACAGACTACAAGGGAACAGCTTGGGAAAAAGTCTACAACTGTGATCCTCAAATTTTATAGCATGCATAAAAATTTTCTAGGATGATTCTGAAAGTGCCCATTTCTAGGCCTTCATCTCAGAGACTCTAGTACTGAGGTAGGGTCTAGAAATCCTCATTTTAATACAAATGTCCTGGACTAATGCTTCTAAAACTTTAATGTGCAAAACAATATCCTTGAAGATCTTGTTAAAATGCAGATCCTAATTCTATAGGTCTGGGTGGGACCTGAGATGTGACATTTTTAACACTCCCCCAGGTAATGCTGGTGCTTGAACCACAGCTTTCATTAAGTCTAACGAGTAGACTTGGCCCCAGAGTCTCTGCCAGAGGCTGAACTGAAAATAATTGCTTCCTCTACTATAGAGAATTGCATTTATACTCCCACATTATTTCAGAAAGGTACACAGTTACTCTGGGCTGCATCCAAGAAGAAAGGCAAATGCAGGGGAGAAGTTATTAACACACACTGAGCACCTACTGAGTTTCAAGAATATTATATAAACGTCACAACAACCCCATGATGTAGATGTCCTAGACACAAGGTGACATGCAAATTTCTTAACAACTAGAATGGACTGAACGTTGACCATGGAACTGACTAATACCCTGAAGCAGTTCCCTAGAGGACCCTTACTAAGGTTGGTATTAACCCATTAACCCAAGATTGAGGGATCGTTGGGTAGTTCAGAGGTCCTGGGCAAGTTACCAGGCAGCCAAAGGCGAAGATGCTGGGTTGAAAAGTAGGCTCAGGTCAGTAGCTATTTACCAGGATGGTTAGAGATATTTTCACTTGATCATTATGAACTGGCTTAACAGCAATATTGATCACATCTATTTTTAAGAAAATAAAACTGAGGCATTCCAAGATTAAAAGACATGGCTAAGGCCACAGTAAGTGATAGAAATGAAACATGAACTCTATCATTGAAATGCTAGGTACCATGTGCTATTGAAGTGTGCTTTTCTGCTTATCCGGTAACAGAGGTTTTTAAATCAGTTTACTTGCCCACATCAGCAACTTTTTCTATTACTATTTATTAATTAACTCACTTGTTTTTCACAACCCATCCTACAGGTGATATTATGCTTAGCCTCACTTTACATATGAAGAAACAGAAGCACAGAAAGATTAAATAACTTGCTCAAGGTCATACAACTAATAAGTGACAAATCCAGGACTTGAATCCAAGCAGCCTGACTCCAGGACCCATATGCTTAAATACTAAGCAATAATTCTTCCCCATTCTAGCAACTTTTAAAGATTCAAGTACCCAGTATCAACCTTTATCTCTATTATAGGTCTGTTTCCTACTTCATTAATTTAATAACATAATATAATTTTCTTCCTTCTGATTTGTTATTTTCATTTTTCTAAGGATTTCTTTCCAGATTTTTGAGATAGAAGTTTAGATAATTGGGTTTTCAAACATTCTTTTCTAATATATACATTTAGTTTTTGTCTGAGTACTACTTTAGCTGAATACTGCTTTAGATTCCATGAAATTTGATAAGTCATATTTTCATTATATTCTAACTCAAAATATTTTCCTTTCTGGCCAATGATTTAGAAGTATGTTGCTTAATATTCAACATTTGAGATTTTCTATATTCAATATTATACCACTAGCCAAGCATGGTGACTCACGCCTGTAATCTCAGTACTTTGGGAGGCCAAGACAGGAGGATTGCTTGAGTCCAGGAGTTTGAGACGAGCCTGACCAACATAATGAGACCTAGTCCCTACAAAAAAATCAGCAACAACAAAAAATTATCTGGGCATGGTGGCACATGCCTTTAGCCCCAGCTACTTGAGAGGCTAAGGCAGAAGGATTACCTGAGCCCAGGAGGTCGAGGCAGTGATGAGCCATGATCATGACACTGTTCTCCAGCCTGAGTGACAGAGACCCTGACTCACAAAGAAAGTACTGTATCTCAGATAACATATGATAGAAAAATGTAAAATAGAGAAAATACAATAGAAACATACAAAAAAACTAATAAAGCCAAAATTTCCCTCTTTGAAAAAAATCAACAAATTTGATAAGTGTTTATAAAGATGGATTTTTAAAAGAGAGAAAGTTCATATTTTCAATACAGAAATAAAGTTGGTAACATCACTACAGGTTTTTCAGACATTAAAATGACAATATTCATTATGCAATAAATTTGGCAATTTATATGAAATCTACAAAATTCTTACAAAACACAACTTATCAAAATGAACACAGAAGAAATAGAAAATCTGTGTAGTCTTAGGTATGTTAAAGAAATTGAATCTGTAATTTAAAACTTTCCCCCAGAGGAAATAGCAGGCTCAGAAGCTTCATTGATACAGTCTTCCAAACAATGAAGAAATAAATGGTACCACTCAAGGAATAGAGAAAAAGGGGAAACATCTCAGTCTGGTTTTTAGGTTATTATAATCATAATATGGAAACTTGACAAAGCTACCACAAAAAATTTTCAGGCTAGTATGGTGTTTCTGAACATAAATGCAAAAAATCAAATCCAGAAATATGCTTTCTCTGAAAAAAAAAAAAAACATAATCATCATGAACAAATGTGATTTAGTCCAGGAATGCAAGGTTGGTTTAACATTCAAGAATTGGTCAATATAATTCATCACATTAATAGAATAAAAAAGAAAAAAAATGAAATCATCAAGGTAGACATAGAAAAATCATTTGATAAAATGCAGTTGCCCAGAGCTTCTCAAAAGAAGCAACTCACTGTTTTACTAGATAATTTGTTTCTTCTGAATTTCTCTTTAAACTAGAGGAGATGCTTCTTGCTTTGAATTGATCACTTTCTAGGTTCCCACCCCTTACTTCTTGTTTCTTATACCCTTTTATAGTTCTTTCCACACAGGAAACTCATGCTTGAGATTTACTCACCAAAGTTACAGAGAGTTATAACCATCCTCTTTTTTCCCTCCTCCTTTCCCAGGATGACAACATCATGAGGTCTCTCCAGCTGTTCCAAAATGTCATATAATCTGGTGACACTCAGTCACTCAGCTCTCAGAGACATTGTACCAAACAACCACCTTAACACCCTGATCTACCCTTGTTCTGATTTTACACACCAACTCTTGGGACAGAAATGCCTTTTACACTTTGGAAGAATCCCCTGCTGAAGACTTTCTATGGAACCCAGCATCACATGGCTCAGTCTCTGATTGCCAACTCTTCCTCCTCCCTCTTCTTGAGAGAGACAAGATGAAACCTGAGTTTGTTTTGGAAGCATGCTCATCTCTTCACATTGTTGCCCTATGGAAGGTCCCTCTGCTTAAGCTTAAACAGTAGTGCACAATTTTCTGCTTATGTTGCCCCCAGCCCACTGCCTCAAAGTTGAGCAGACCTTGATGAATCTGGAAGCAAGAGGGCCTGAGCCAAATTCCCACCATCCTCTGATGGCCTCTCAAAACAACGTGCCTGTTTCACTTCCACTGATGGGAAGAATGAGAGTTATAAAGAACAATTGGAAGCTTCCATGACTAGATTGGGAGAGCCAGCACTTAACACATGTGAGATAGGACTGAATTATTAAGCATGGCATAGTCTGATGACCCAAACTGCCCACGTCATTTGTTTCCAGAGACAAAGACCAATAATTATCTCACACTAGCATCTGTGCTGGTAGTGCAAATCCCTTAACAGGCCCAGGAAGGGAGCCATTGCCCAGTGGTTCATATCTCCACTCCATCCCCTGCTTGAGCCCAGCACTGCATGTCCCTCCCAAAAAGTCCAGAATGCCTGCAAATTGCTGTAATTTTATACCATGTTCTAACCAATAAACAGAACTATTTCTTACACTCTCAATTATTTCTTCCATGACTCCATTGGGTAGGAGAGGTAAGTTGTGAAAAGAGAATGTTAGTCCATTTATTTGACACTCAGTTTTTAGTACAGCCATCCCTCAGTATATGTGGGAATTGGTTCCAGGATCCCCTGTGTATGCCAAAATCTGAGGATACTCAAGTCCCATGATTGGCCATATAGAACCTACCTACATGAAAAAATCAGCCCCCCTTATAGGCTGGTTTTGCATCCTGTGAATATTGTCTTTTCTATCATGATCAGGGAAAAAAATCACATATAAATGGATCTGCACAGTAGAAACCCATGTTGTTCAAGGGTCAAATGTATTACATTGTGTCAGGCAGTAACATCATCCTTTCCAGCCCCCAAGCCAGCCCAAGCAAACATCAGATTCAAATGTAAATACTGTAACCAGTAACTTCAAGATAAGACCCTTCACAACACCTCCCTTCCAACAAGATTGCCCCTCCTAAGACCATCTAACATGGACAGTCTGGAACCCCTTGTGATGTGGTTGGGGATTTAGAGATGAAGAGGCAGACAAGACCTCCTGTTGAAGGATTCAGAGTCCAGGGGTTCATCAAGTGGCTGCAGCCTATAACCAGTCAATGATTATTTGTGTTGAACATGGTGAATGCTGTGGGTCTTGGTTTCATCACTTGTCTTCACATTAAGAGATTAAGAGCTAACAATGGCATTCTTGGAAGGAAAGTAATATACTTAACCCCAGCTATGTGCCAGGTGCTGCAGTAGGGGCCTTATATACATTATTTTATTTCATGTTCATGGTAGAGCATTTGAGAAGGTGGAGTCCTGGTTTTACTGATGAGAATGCTGAAGTTCAGAGAGGTAAGGGGAACTGCCTAAGGTAGCACAATTGATAGACAGGCACTCCATACAGAAATTAAACTCTTCTTACTCTATCATAGAACCCTCTACTAGGGGATTCTGCGTCACCCCAAGGAACTGATGGTACATGCCACAAATCTCATTCATCTATAATTAGTGAATGAGACATAGGTTTTCTTTGGATCCATGTAGCAGATGAGAAAACAGATGCAGAGAAGAGAAGAGGAATGTCTCAGGTAACGGGACCACTAACTTGAGCAGGCCAACAAAACAGTGCCTGCATTCATGACATACTTCCCTCTAATAGCCACTGGCTGCTGCCTTTTGTGGTTGAAAACTGTAGACACTACAGTTCCTCTATCTGGGCTTCCTGAGTGCAGTCATGTGGTTTCCTAAGACTGCTGGATATGTGCTTGTATCTCATCCTTTGAGAAGTATCTGTTCATGTCTTTTACCCACTTTTTAATGGGGTTGTTTGTTTTTTCCTCTGAGTTCCTTATAGATCCTGGGTGTTAGGTCTTTGTCAGAGGCATAGCTTGCAAACATTTTTTTTTCACTTGGGGAACTTTGAAAAAAATACCTGGGTTCCACCCCAAACAAATTGACATAGAATCTCTGAAGGTAGGGCCCAGACATCAGAATCCTCTAGAAGCTGTAAGGTGATTGTAAGATGGGGAACTGACCACAACCATTGATAGGAATGAAGAACATGATCTGCAATGTCTCCTGGCCATAAGAACTGATTCAGAGACAGGCTTGAAACCTAAGTTAGTTCATACAGTGTGAATCTCGAAACTTGGGCTGGAAATAATGGGACAAAAATGTTCTCTCTCCTACAGGTCATGAATGAGAGAGTATGTAGCCCTAAGACATGCTGGTAATAATTTAGAAATTCTGAGAGCTCGCCTGCTAATTAGAGGGTTAACAAACTAGACATGACATAAGGCTTAGCAGAAAAAAATATATATATTATATACAGAAATTGAGCCCTTGCTTTCTTTCTTGCCATGCAATCTCTGCACATGTCAGCTCTCCTTCTTCTGCCAAGTGTGGAAGCAGCCTGAGGCCCTCACCAGATACAGATACCCAATCTTGAACTTTCCTACCATCAGAATTGTGTGCCAAGTAAACCTTTTCCTTTATAAATTACTCAGCCTCCCCAGTGCTGGAGGTGGCCCAATGGGAGGTGTTTGGGTCATGGGGGTAGGTCTCTCATTTGTAGATTAATACTGTCCCTTGGAAGTGAGTGAGTTCTCACTCTATTAGTTCCCATGATAGCTGGTTGATCTGCTGAAGCCAGACATATCTCCAACCATTTCAGATTCCTGTGTCAGATGCCTATACAAAGTCTAGGCCAGTGCTTCTGCATCCTGGTTACATATCAGAATCACCTGGAAGCAGAGATAAAATTTTTTGAAGTGCCAAATGCCTGGGCCTTACCCCAGATTAACTGAATCAGAATCCCTGGAAGTGAAGCTCCTTAAAGCATCAGTATGCTTTAAATGCTCTTCGCATGATTCCAGTGGACACCTAGAGCTGAGAACCTCCCTGCAGAACAGAGAAAGGGCTGGTACCCTTCTCCCTGTGTTAACCAGACTACAAGTGAGAAATCAACATCAGTCCTGAGCACCCAATACTGGAAGGAAGATTAGTAGCTGGGGATATTCAGAGAGAAATCAGTGTGGAAGGAAGATACAAAACTGGCCTTCAGATGGATGATCAACAGAAAGGAAGATGGTTGTCCTGGTGGGTATGGAGCAAAGGCCATGTTTCAGCCATGAGAGGGGGTTGGCTCCATCTCCAACTTCTCCCAAAGAGATCCTGCTCCTCCTAAACCACCATCATTGCACCTACCTGCTGATAGGGACTAACCATGTGGCAGATGCTGTGGCCACCTTGCCCATAGCCCCTTAGCACCATCATTACTGGGCAAGTGGACTCAACCACTACCAACTGTACACACCTGAGAGTGTTTGTTTGTGACTCTGACCTTCAGAGAGTCTGGTCACAACAGCATGCTGTGTTTTGGATGTTTGGCCCCTCCAAAGCTCATGTTGAAGGTAGGGCCCAGTGGGAAGAGTTTGGATCATGGGGGGCAGATCCCTCAATAGATTAATGTCCTCCCTTTGGAATGAGTGAGGTCCTGTGATAGCTGGTTGTTAGCAAGATCCCTGCACTCCCCCCTTCTCTCTTGCCCTGCAATCTCTGCATACAATGGCTCTCCTTCACCTTCTGCCACGAGTGGAGGCAGCCTGAGGCCCTCCTCCGATGCAGATGTCCAGTCTTGAATTTTCCAGTCAAATACTCAGTCCCAGGAATTCCTTGATAGCAACACAGAACAGAATAAGACACAGCCCTCTCTACCCATAGCCAGGTAAGGCTAGAAGAATTGAGCCATCAACATCTCCTAGGAATAGCCCTTAGGTAATGATGGTGAAGGCTGGTGAACAAATACCCCTCTCCTCTCAGTTGGAAGTACTCTGGGGTCTTTTCTATACCATCTCCTGGACTTTCCCAACAGGATTGAGTTTCAGTTTCTCACAGCAGTCACCTACAATGAAACAGATTCAGGAAACAGATGAGGAAAAAAACAACAAATGAAATGATTTTAGACAAAGTGACATGAAAAGGATAAGTGTGTGACATGATAGTGACCCAGATGGCCAGGGGTGGTGGGCTACACCATATGGGTGTAGAGAAAGACTTATCTGAAGAGCAGACTGCTGAGCTTGACCAGCTCTCAGGTCAAGGGTTCTCCATGGACAACAACATCTCACCTGATTCTCAAGATCACCCTGTGAGATAGGTATTATAGACATCTGTGTTTCAAGATGAAAAAATGATGCCTAGAGACATAGAGGAACTTGCTCACATAGCTGGAAAGGGGGTTGAAAGTCTGCCAAGCGCCCAAATCCATGCCCAGCTTTATTTCTTAGTGAGCATGAAGACCATTCTCCACCTAGTCCTGAAACTAGCTCTAATGATATGCAAACACCAGAAGGCATTAGGAAGCAGCTGCCATGAAAACTATTCAAGAAAAGCAGTGAAAACAAGCCCATGCATCCAAGCCAAGTTACTTTTTCTTAAAAGGGAAGAATTCCAAGGACATGTGCAAAGATGGCCATGTGGCTTTCTTAGAGGAGCCAAAATAAGTGTGACCTTCTACATAAAAATAAGGTCCAACCTCATAGGCAGAACTCAGCAAGTCCAGCACCCAGTCCAGTGCCTGACTGGGGACCAATAAAACTCAGAATCCAAAGAGTGGGGGGAATCCCAGAGGCAGCCAATCCCATGAGACTCTAGAAAGCTGGTTACACTCCCTTTTCTAGGAAAAGAGCTTACAGACCTAGGCTAAGCCAATCATTACTCCCATGCCCCGGCCACAGTGATGGTTCAGGGAAAGGCTTAAAACCTAAACTAAGCCAGGCTTGGTGGCTCAGCCTGTAAGCCTGCTTTGGGAGGCCGAGGTGAGTGAATTGCCTGAGCCAGCAGGTTTGAGACCCGCCTGGCCAACTTGGCGAGGCCTCATCTCTACAATAAATCCCGAGGGCCAGGGACCCTCACGGCTCATGCTGACGCAGAACAGGCAAGGGCTGAGGAGATATGAGGAAGACAGACTGTTGCAGATTCTACAGACAAGAGCAAGAAAGAAAGTAAAGGGAGAAGGAAAGAAAACAAGAGGTTGAGAGGAGACAGAGAGGAATGAAACAAAGGAGATTATAAAGTCTTTACATTGTGTCAGCTCACTGTGATAGTTTTACATGTTAACATGGCTAGGTCATGATACCCAGTTTTGGTCAAACATTAATCTAGACATTGCTATGGAGGTGTTTTTTAGATGAGATTAATGTGTAAATCAGTAGACCCCGAGTATAGCAAATTACCCTCCGTGATGTGGGTAGGCCTCATCCAATCAGTTGAAGAGAAAGGACAGAAGTCCCCCAAGGAAGAAGGGATTCTGCCTCCAGACTGCTTGGGGACTCTTGGGACTGCAACATCAACTCATTTGTTTTAGACTTTCAGTCCCCACAATTCCTTAAAATGAATCTGTTTCTCTCTCTCTCTCTCTCTTTCTCTCTCTCTCTCTCTCTCTCTCTCTCTCTCTCCCTCCCTCCCTCCCTCTCCCTCTCCTTCTTCCTCTCTCTTTCTCT